AGTAAAATATAAATAGGGTGACTTAAAAAATATCATTTAAAAAAAAATTAGTTATTGTTCTTTATTTTCCATTTTCAAGAGAGATAATTCAGAGGTTTTTCTTTATTTGAGTATTTTCTTATAAATCACATCAGATATAACAAAAAATTTATTGCTCAAGAGTTAACAAAGTAGGATTTTAATATTTCTGTTTTAGTACTTTTTTTAAATAGACACTAAAATTTTATACAAAAAAAACTTATTTTGATAATTTGCATTAATTCTTTTAAGATAATTGATTAACTGTAAAGTCAACTAAAATTAAATTAATATAATTTATATACTAATAAATTAGAAATTATTAGTTTTTAGAATTCAGCTAATAAAGAATATTAGATTTATGTATATTAGTTCAAAAATGAATGACACATAGTTGTCTTTTATATTTTTGTTTTCAATAAATTATTATTTCTAAACTTATTTTTCATGGTTGATTGAATTGAGATTAAAAGGAAGTAATTGATTAAATTTGACTATGAAATAAATATCATTGATCAAAAGTAATAATACAAAAATTAAACGTTAATAACATTATTTTATGGATATTTATTACTCATTAAGCAAATAAATCTATTTTTAATTATTTTTGGACTAACAAAAAATAATGTTGTCGCGGTTAATATGATTAGGGATGATGTAAATAATGGTTCTTTGATTTTGGAAATTTATTTTTTAACTTCCAAAATTCCCTTATTTTTTTTCAAGTCTAAGTATCTCTCAGAATATTGCTTTTTAACTTGTATGTCTTGCCTAAAAATTGGATTTTAAAGGACTAAAAGTAAAACCTTTCTGAGTTACTTCGCAATAGTGGTTTACTTTTATACTTAATCAAGCATTTAAACGTCTACTGGAGACTTATATTTTAATAATACTTGTTCAAATATTTAAAAATTAAATCCTTATTAAAATCAAATCCTGTTTATGGCAATAATTATAAAAAATAGATCGCTATGCAAAAATTTATATTTGTCCTTATATAAAAATTCTCTATATAATTTCGTTTTCTAATATGTTATCTGACCTATTATAAGCTAAAATTATTATTATTTTCTGAAAAAGTTTTTTTTTATCATTAATATTTATTACTCTTAAACAAATAATGATTTAATTATAAATAATCAATAATAATATTAGTAAAAATGTTTTTTGCATTGATATACCTTTTGGTTATTTATGATTTTTAAATTTCTATAAATTAAGAAAAAATTCCATATAAATTAAAAAAATTAAAGCAAAAATGAGTAATTGATATTTAGAATCAATAATTATTCTATTAAAATATCATTCTTATTTTTGAATTGCCATAACAAATGTAATTCTTTATGATTTTTTCGTGATGCTAATCTATATAAATAAAATTTATAAAAATAAATTGATGTTAAAGAAATAATAGAAGAAATCTAAAAACTCAAATTATTGAAGCCTTATTGTTATTGATTAAAAGTTTTTAATCTTTAAAACAATAATTTTGGACAATTTTTTTCAAGATAAATCAGATTATAAATACATAAAAAGAGACTAAATATAATAAGTCAATTTCTTTAAAAATTTTCCTAAGTTCTTATAAATTAAAACCTCATT